GGACCTAAAACAAAGTGTTAAGTAACATTAACACATTAAGATTACAGTTTAACTTAAAATTAGTTAACACTTCTAAAAGTAGCAATGCCTTGCCTCCCCAAATGTAGCCAACATTCCCAGTCACACATTTGTCCTTACCCAAACTGAGAAAAATGTTTTAAATATTTTTAATAATTTGTCAATTCATAGAAATATTTAGCTAATCAAGTTTGCAAGAACAATTCTACGTTATGTGACTCATTGTGGAACTTATCAAACAGTAATCCTGAGGAATTAAGGTAAGTTATAGGTGGAGAATACTTGGATGTATAGTGTACACTATATAAGAACACACCAGTAACATAACTTGAGAGCTAACTTCCTAAACTAGACCAACTTGAGAGTAAACTTCCTAAACTAGACCAACTTGAGAGTAAACTTCCTAAACTAGACCAACTTGAGAGTTATCTTCCTAGGCTAGACCAACTTGAGTTAACTTCCTAAACTAGACCAACTTGAGAGTAAACTTCCTAAACTAGGCCAACTTGAGAGTTAACTTTCTAGGCTAGACCAACTTGAGTTAACTTCCTAAACTAGACCAACTTGAGAGTTAACTTTCTAGGCTAGACCAACTTGAGTTAACTTCCTAAACTAGACCAACTTGAGAACTTTCATGGGTAGTTTATAGCTGGACACTGCTGCTATTTACCATTATATTAACCTCACTTAAAAATAAAAGAAAAGATGATGCTGATGATACAAGTACAGACACACACACACTGAGTAACCATTTATTTTGTGTTTGGATTTCAGAATGAATTTTCTAAAATTGAACATCTTTTTCCAAGACTTAAACTTTGAGGAGAGATCAGACCAGGCCAACTATGAGGTAAAGGGATTTGTTTTGCTTTTTCACAAAAAACTTCTGGGGGTTTTTTTTGTTTGTTTTTTTAAGAATAATCACCTACAGTCAAACTGCATCATTTCAAACAAATCAGTTTATGGCTAACACACCAGGACTGGAAAATGTATATTTTAACTTGTATAATTCTTAGTACATAATTGGATGGCTGCTTAGTCATGTGGTATGTGGCCCTGCCCAACAACACCTGCCATCATACAGGAAGTTTGGGCTGGAACAAAATAATTTTGAATTTGGGACAATGTTTTATCCAATTGCAATGAGGTTTAGTCTATGTCAAAATTGTAATTCAAAAACATTTTTTTTATTTAAACATTATCCAAATAAAACATTTTTAATAGCAATTCCTCTTTATGAATTTCATTTGTGTCAGGATTTTGTGATTTTACCATCACAAAAAAAGATACAAGACACCTATAGCAAAGACAAACAGACACAAACACTCTTTTGTTCCCCTAGCAATCAAATCATTAAATAAGAACAATCTGGTATAAACTTTGTCACATGTAAATTATGAGTGCGTCTGGTGTGAATGTACACTTTGGTTTCTTATAGTTATAATGTTTTTTGTTTGGTGTAATGCACAAATTGTAAGACAAATTTTCATACGGACAATAAAGATTATTATTATTATTATTTGCTGAGTGCATCTTTCATGCTACAGCATGCTTAGAGTGCAGTGGTTCAAATATCTTTTCTGGATCATTTAAGGGAAGGAATATTTTGGGCTGGCGCTCAGCATTAGCAGCTTAAGTTGAGATTTTAACTTGAGTCACTTTCGCAGGTAGTTTAATTTAAGATTTGAACTTGAGTCACTTTCGCAGGTAGCTTAAGTTGAGATTTGGAACTTTAGTCACTTTCGCAGGTAACCAGGTGGTTTATGTCTCCACCACTCATCCCACATTCTTATGATAAATAGATTTCAGTCATCAGCATACAAAAAAGATTTTCATCAAATGTAATTAAAATGGTGTAACTAATGACAAATAAAAAAAACAAAATATTTCATTTAATATATTCTTATCATAAAGTCTGTTTTGTAAATACAATAGGCCTTTAGTACAGGTATTTGAAAGCATCAAAATATTATCAATCCTTTGTTTATTTTTAGTGTACATTGAATAATGTTTGTTTTAACATAAATCAATCTTTGTACATTTCTAGTTTACTGCACTTCTGTCAGACATTGGTGGAAGTATTGGCTTGTGGATTGGACTGTCCATTCTTTCGCTCTTTGAAATAGTGGACCTTTTGCTTCGAATTGTCTATAAAGTCTTGACCTGGACACGGAAGTGTGACGTCACTCAAAAGTGATCAAATATTTTAAGCAAACCATGTTGCTAAGTTTAAACGCATCATAATATAAAAAAATATATATATTTTTAATACAGGGAAAACAAAATGGATTATTTCTTGATGTACATGAAAAAAAATTTGTCTATAAAAAAGTTTTTGAACGGTAATGAAAAGTGTATAAAAAATTTATGATTTTAATTTTTACAAAAATTTTGCAGTTTTCTTTTGTATGCGCAGTTTTGAAATTTATAGATAACCCCCATCAGAAAAAAAAATTTGATAGGTCATGAAAGTTAATGTATATTTTCTAAGTAAATTATTAGTCAACTTAAACAAAATTCCTGCTATTAGCTTGCAAACTCTTGACAGGTTCAAAATGTTTGTTTGTTTGTTCCTTCAGAGTTAAAGATAGTTTACTTCCTAGCCCAAACCTCCTGCAGGACGACGGGGGATGGGAGCGGGCAGGGTTTGAACCATCGATAAATCCGAACGACAGTCCAGCACGCAAACCGCACGACCAGGCAGTCAGGTATCAAACAGTTGGAAACAGGGTGGACAAGTGTTTTGTAACAAACTCTAATGATTTTCCTAGAAATTTAAAAGTATAGTAAATCATTGTGGAAATAAAAAAAAACTTATGGCCACACAGTAAAAACTCTGGTTTGACCATTATAATTTTGGATATTTCTTTTTTATTTTGAGCACGCAAGACTTTAGGGGAATTTGAGGAAGGTGTGGATGTTAGGGTAAAGCTCTTTATTGTATTTGACACAAAAATCAGGCCGGTGCGCTCCTTGGTCATGGCCACATCCTTACATAATTGTGAGTATTAGATGCACTAAGAACAGGACACACACCACTATTAAATTACCACCTGAACAAAATAAACTCCACACAACTCCCCCTTTGTAGACACTGCGCCCATCCCTTTGAAACCGTAAACCATATCCTCTTTGAATGCCCCTCCCTAATCCACCTTAGGCAGATCCTACTTCCACTACAGCCCAACATAACCGACACCCTGTACGGCAGTGCTGAACAACTGAAGAAAACAGCACACTTTTTTTCCTTGGCACAGTCTGCAAAAGAGCTCACAGCTCAGCAGCAATAAAGCTGGCTAGAAGAAGAAGAAGAAGAGTATCAGATGCTGACTGCAGAACTAGAGAGGAGCATCCTAGCAATGGAAGTGAGATACAACAAAGAGATCCAAGGAATGGCCAAGGAGGAGATCAGAGATCGGATTGTTACAGCGATTGGACCTCAAGATGACCTGCTAAGTACTGTCAAAATACGCAAAATAAAACTCTATGGCCATATTATTATTATTATTATAGCTTTTACATAGCGCTACTTTCATGCTAATAGCATGCTCAGAGCGCTTTTGGTCCAATCTCATTTGTGGACTGGTGGGATGGGGGGGTGGGAGGGGGTATCTAGGAGTTGGTTTTCCGTGCTGCCTTTAGGCGCTCAGTAAACACAACTCTGCCAGAGTCGGGTGTCGCACCTCGAGCCCCCTTCTAGGTAGCCAAGCCAAGCCAAGTTCAAGCGCACTTGGCCTCTCGACCACGCTTCCCACCATATTACAAGGTCTACGGGGCTCACAAAGACCTTCCTTCAGGGAACAGTACTTGGAAAAAGAAAGACCTGCCATTGAAAGACAGAAAAAATGGAGAACGACTGTCGACAAATGTTGTGTGGTTCCCCAACAAGGTAACAGATTAAGGACTCAAATGTTTCTTTGTATTCACCGAGTTGAATAAATAATTAGACATAAAGAGGAATGAGTTAAACACACACACTTTTTTTGCATGTCACTTTATTCAATCCAATAAGTGCACATTTGTAATTCTTCTACCCTCAATGCTCACAGCTTCTTTGTAACTTCTTCAATCCTTCTGTATGGCTCTGAGACATGGACACTATGCAGGAAACATCTAAGACTTCTTGAGCACTTCCACCAAAGATGCTTGAGCTCCATCATGGACATACGGAGCAAGACCGCACAATAAACAGCGATGTCCTTGCGAACGCGGTATGGACAGTATAGAGGTACTACTTTTGATCCGACAGTTGCGCTGTATGGGAGACGAACGTATGCCAAAGGCAGTCTTTTTTGGTGAGCTAAAAGTTGGTCGACGTAACAGAGGCGCCCCACGGAAACGCTTCAAAGATCAGCTTAGGCGTCAACTTTCCTTTGCTGACATAGAAGAGAGCACCTGGTTGCATGCGGCCTCAGAACAAGACAGCTGGAGGTCAAAAGAAAATCTGCTGCCGAGGACAAACGCAGACGGCGAAAAGAAAATCTAAATCGACCGCCTGTGGACAATGGTTATGCTTGCCCTGGATGTGGCAAAATATGTAGGTCACAGCTGGGACTGCGCAGCCACGGGAAATACTGCATTCCCCACTGAACTTCGGACTCCAAGACTAGCCTTATTATTATTAGCTTCTTCACTAGCATCCTCTATTATCTTTTCAAGGAAAATATTGAAAAGTGTTGGTGAAAGAAAGCAGCCTTGTCTCACTTTTACTACAATGGAACATTTGGCTGCCCATAACTTTGTTAGCAAGAAAAGATTTTAAAAGCACTGGAAATGTGTAAGTTCTTGAAAAATAAAAATATTTACATCAAAATCAAACCATGAACTGATATAATTCAGTTATATTAAAAAAAAAGCATATTTTAATACAATTATTGGTGTCATTTATTTAATTTTAATGGGCAGATTTCCAATTTCTCTTTGATATTTATATTGTCATTTTTTAACTGATTAAATAAGGACCTTTAACAAGAAGCTGACTGATGCACTCTTTTTTCTATCTTATGGCCCAAATGTCCTTAATTTTGGCCCAGTTGGTTTCTTTTATCTATTCTTTTAGAAGTCAATCTTAATGCCATTTAATTAGCATGAAACTATTCTTGTACAAAGTTTTGATATTTTTATATTCCACGTCTTTGTTGACAAAATGAAAATAAAATGACATTTTGAATGTTACATTTTTAGACAAGTTTGTTTTGTTTTTGTTTGTATGGTCTATTGCTAGTTTTATGTTTTAGAATAAAAACTGTCATGAAGTAATTAAGAATCCAGTATAAACAGACTTTAAACATACAGAAAATATCGCCAAAGTCTAATACAATATGGCAGGACAATTGCAAAAGGTAGAATTGGGCATAAATGAAAATTATAATTTCATCAATATGAGGGTTTTTTGATAACAAAAATCAAGCAAAACATTAGGGCTTATTGAAAAAAAATTTTAACAAATTAAACAAAAACATAAAACTAAAAATGCTGTTTAGCCTTAGGCCAATATATTAGAATATGTATCCTCTTTTTGGGATCCATCAATTGAAGAAAACTTAAAGAAACAGACACAAAACAGAGATTTATAACAAACGAATATTCATATTTGACTAGAATAAAACCATTAGTAAAATCACTTTAAGGAGATTTAAAACACTTAAACCCTAATTTACAAATATAAAACCAAACTTAATACAATCTTATTCCATACGCTTGGACTAATTCATACAAGTACTCCTTCTTCCCTAGTGCTCTTTCTTCCCTAGTGCTCTTGGAGCATGGAATGGGTTGCCAAAAAAACCAAAGGCTAAGAGTTTATGTCACTGATTAACATGTATGACTATATTGAAACCTGAAATGTGTAGGACGTAATTGTCTTCTCTTTTGAAGCAACTTTTTAAATTTTTTAAACAAGAGAACCACATCTTACATAATGTAGGAAAGCAGGTCAATTCCAGATAGTTGTTAGGGTTGGGTCAAGGTGGGAAATTCATTTTAAGACTGAAAAACAAAGCGGATTGAGGTAGTTGCTGATAATAGTGTATTTTGTACGGATATGTTGGTCCTTGAATTGTTATATTATTTATACTTGTAATATCTGGAGGATTAATAGTCAATATTTTAATATAAATAATCTCTGGATCTTCTCAAAATGACAATTAATGGTTCAGATCAAATGTCGAAAAACAAAAATTCTTCGGGGCCTAAGTAACTTACAATACTTACAACTACTAACAAAAAATATGCATTACAAATAAACAAATAAAAGAATTTTTGGTTACACAGGTCGTACATGTAGCTCAATCTTTTAATCATTCGCACATACAAAGCTACATACGGACTCATACCTACATAATTCAAATAGGACTTTACAATTAACCGACACGAGATTATAAATAACAAATTTAGTAAGAGAAAGACTGATTCGTTAAGTCGATTTCTATTTGTAATCTAGCTTGAGCTGCGCATGACCTATTTTCTAAACAATTAGTGAGCAACATGAACTGCCCTTTTTTTAAAATTTTGTAAATATAAATATGAGCCAAATGGCCTCTTATTTTAAAACGGTTCGTATGTATAATCATGCTAAGAAATACAATAAACCAGAACATCAAAAGTAGCTGTTGCACTTGTTTTAAGAGTATTTCAAAGGCTCTTTGTTTCAGTATTTGAGAGTAAACCTGACAGATGGATGAGTAAAATGGCAGAAAATCTCTATCAGGATGTTACAAATTAACATCAATCTTTAAACAAAAAAAATTAATTAGATTAAAATTTCAACCAATATTACTTGTGTTCAATTGAGTTGCTGATACAAATTATATAAAAAGAAAAAAATAGGGACAGATAATAATAATAATTCAATTTATAAAGCGCTGTTAACAAACAAAATGTAGGCTCAAGACGCTGTGATAACATTACAAACATAAATGCGAGATCTAAAATGAAAAACTAATCTAAAAAATTTTTGAACAGATAGATGGAAATAAAATCTAAAATGCTTCTTAGCAAGCATAGGCATTATCTCTAATTGTCAGTTTGGGGAAAAATCTTTTCTGTCTTCAAACTTGAAGATAAAGCTTAATATAGAGGCAATCAATACTAGGAATAATTAAAATACTAGGTAGTGAACAAAAGCATATTCACAAAGTCCTGCACCTATCACAGTACAAAAATACAAAAAGAAATTCTACCAACTTGTATAGCCCAAATAGTGAAAGGCTGCGTAAATTAATCTCCTTCTTTCTATCAAAATTGGTAGAACTAGCTGTTCTTACTATTACAAAAACCATTATTAGTTGGCAAGTAATATATCACTGACATGTATAAGAAGTAGGCTTAAAATGGCCCATCACTGAAGAAATATCTCCCTAACCTTTGATTCTTGTGTTTCCAAGCCACAAATATACCTGTGCCATAAACTCAGGTCTGTCACTGATTGACAATCAATTTGTTCATTCCTGCTGGGACTGCCTGTTTCATGGCTGAGACCACTAGGGCACCCACCAAAGACACAGTAATTAAAACGCCAACTCCCATTCCTACACCAATGGCCATGGTGCTGTCAACACTCATTGATGCAACAGGCAAAGCTGCAAAGACAAAACAAAAATGAAATGAAACAATTGCTCACGCACTACACAAATTATACAAGAGAGATCTAGTGGTTGATGTCTTTAGTTTAGGCTAAGAGAGATTATGTAGAGAAGGAACACTGAAACATGAAGCAATTAAAATAGTCTGCAAACTAAAACATACTATCTCCTGAGAAAACCATGTACACTTAACAAACAGAATAAACCAAAGACAACATGGAGTTTGTAAAACAACATTTCATCCATTAGTTTTTTGTTGTTGTTTTTTTGCTTAGTATATACAAACCCAACAAAAATCTGTAGGCGCTGAGAATATCAACTACATGATGTTCCCTTCAGAAGTTGGCAAAAATAATGAAAGCATTCCTTTAAATCACATGAGCATGGTCAAGGTACATGATTATCTAAGGCCCAGGAATGCACCTCAGAGAACAAACTCTGGTGCAGCTGTAAAGCAGCTATCGCACCCATGATTATCTAAGGCCCAGGAATGCACCTAAGAGAGCAAACTCTGGTGCAGCTGTAAAGCAGCTATCACATCCACTCTCTTTTGAAACAGATGGATTAATTTTTTATTAGTTTATAAAGAAAAAAGGCCTTCCTTCATATCTGCATCATCATCTACTTATCTTCAAAAAAGAAGATAATTATTCCTACACATCACGCATGTTAATCAGTGACTTAAACTCAGCATCAATATAATCAATAGAGTCACCCTGCCTTTTTTAAGACCCAGGATAAGAACACTGTTCAACATGTTACGGATGTCCCTTCAGAGTTAAAGACGATCTACTTCCTAGCCCAAACCTCCCACAGGATGACAGGGGATGTAGCAGGCAGGGTATGAACCTGGGACCATCAAGTCGACCAATGAAAAGTCCAGCACGCATGCCACACTACCAGACAACCATCCAATCTAGTGAAACAAAATGCATGTATGTTTCCATACAAGTCAAGAGCAAGTGGGTTCCTATTAGAACATAGCGGCCTTTAGATCACATAGAACATAGCAATTTAAAGACAGGCACAGCAGGTTTACACTGGGCTATAACAGCTTTATCAGGCATGGATATCCTTTACCACAGGGAGGGGGAAGAGGGCTCTGCCAGTGTACTATACATTATGGTGCTGTGTACTGTACTTATTTTGTTTTTGTTTATTATAACTTAGACTTTATGTAAAAAGTAAAGTTCCCCTTTCAGACCTTGTGGTCTATAGGGCAGATGAAGAGAAGGTCATCTATTTATGTGACCTACCGTTAGAGAGGGTGTCATGTGGCTAGCACAACGACCAACCGCCTTTACTTTCCCCAACTAATGTCAGGTACAGATTAGAGCTGGGTGGACTCAAAGGCGCCCAAAGATCCTGAACTTAAAAATCCCACTCTTCACCAGGATTCGAGTTAACAATTGTATTTCGTCTATATTGCAACACTTATTTTTTCCTGTGATATTATGCACATTCAGTTAGACTTGACTTGTGATTTAATTTAGTTTTTCAATGTCTTTGATTCTTTCTTCTCTCTCTCTATTTATGAAAACAAGTGTACCAAGTTGCTCTACCAATCCTGTGTTTGGTTGAACTAAGTTCTAGACCAGTGTTTACCGAACTTTTTCCTAACAGAAAAATTTGCACATTCTGAGTATTTAGCGGAACACTTTGCTTATTTGTTTTACAGAGGTTAATTCATGTAGTGGCCTACAGGTTAATTATTCCAGTAGTTCGTGGAACTAATCAAGCCTCATGGAACACTAGAAAACACTGTTCAAGAATTAAGAAACATCAAATCTGGGCAAGGTTGTAGTGATGAAAGATCATGCTTAAACTTGTGTATGTATTCATCTCAAATATAAGAATTCAATGAAAAATTAAAATGATCAAGGTTTAAAAAACAGAAAGCGAAAGAGAATCAATGAGTTAAATACAACCAAACCCACCTTCCGAACAGGTGTGTCCTGTGTAATCACCAGCACATCCTTCCAGACAGCTTCCATTGACATGATGACACACACCTCTTTTACAGTTGGTGTTGCAAATTTCACTACAGTTTGGTCCGAATGTTCCTGACTGACATGCTGCATGAAATACAATTATTTAATCATGACTAAATCTTAATTACTTAATTTTGTACAAAACGAATGTGTTAGTTATGTATGGATTTTTTTTGGCTTGGTTGTTGCTTTTCTCAACTAATTAACAGGGGGGTTTGAGTTTGATTCTCTATGTAGACTAAGAATTTTTTATTCCAGATTAGGCTTGAGCTAAATAGTCTTTCCTGAGTGCCTAAAAGCACTGCATAAAATTATAGAAATATAGAAGACACACAAGAGAAAAGTATTATAAAAGCAATTGTACAATTCAATAAAAAAAAAGAAAAGTAGTATGAAAGAGTAAACCCACACATAAAGTAAACAGAGTAGTTGATAATAATGTTTCCATTTTAGAGGTGCCAGTTTGTAATAAAAACTTTAAAAATATACTTCAGATCACACAATTTAGAATGTAATTACTGTTTCGATCTAGCATGGTCCCTGAGAAGTAAAAGGCTTGGCTTCAGAACCGATGGTTCTGGGGTTCAAATCTGGATGAAGATTATGAATCTGAACTTCTAACTAAATTTTTAGAATGCCACACCGTACTAATGGGTACCTCAGATTACTTTGGGAAAGTAAAGGAGGTAAGTCGTTGTGCCAGCCACATCTATAGCTTCTTCTTGAAGATGACTGTGAAGTCCAATCTTCGCTTTAAAAAGCTACATAACACCCTTGTCTACAATTAGCCATAGAAATGGATGAACTTAGATCCTTGGCCCCATAGATCGCAAGGTGGGAACGCTTCTTAACTTTTGCAGTATGATGTAACAACTTACTTTCATTGCATAGATCTCCCATATATCCATCAATACATCCATCAAGACAGTATCCAGAGACAGGATGGCATATGATGTTACATTGAGCATTACAGATTTCATTACATTCAGATCCAAAGTAGCCAGAGACACAAGCTATGAGGATACACATTATAGATTATAAGGAGCCGGAGACACAATACAAAGATACAAGGACGTGAAATACATTGTCAGAAGTTTTAAAATTACACCATTTTATATCTTACATCGTGGCTCAAAGAAAAGAACATTAATATGAAAAACAAAGATTAAGAACATAAGACATACTAATAATAGAATTTTAGTACACAGTCTTTAAGACATTTCCTCAACATTGATGCAAGTCCAACAGGGCATAGGTTATTGTATAAAACAATTATACTTTTTTAATCAATATAATTCCTGCATTCTTCCAGTCATCAATT